AACATCTTTTCATTTCACAAAAACAGTCTTAGAGGTACTGAATCATGAAGGAAGAGGAACCTTCATCAGCTTAATACCTCATCACTTCGGAAATAACCGTGATACAGTAATAGCCCAAATTTAGAAATCAGGGTTAGTAGGCTCGCTGCAGGTTTCTCTGGACGACTTTCTGTATAAAATAAACCGGCTTCATTTATTTTGTTAAGTAACGACTTCATCCTTGGGGTTTTAAAAGCCAACTGTACAGTGTTCCTAATGAAAGGAAACGAACAAGAACTCAATTGCTCTCAAGTTTTGAGGTGTGAAGCGACAAAGAGTATAAGCCGTCCCTCCTCTCCCCTCTCCTCCCCTCAGATGAAATGCTTATGTACTACAGGTTACCCTCAGCTTTTCGTCGCGTTTTTGTGGTCCTTCGCTGTTACCGTTTTCACCTTTTGGGCGGAGAAAAGTTATATGAGAGTAAAGAGTTCAGTCTGCCATCTATCTCCCTGACTTCGGTGAATGAATGTGTTGTAAAAGCCAGCTACATCTTGACACATACACACAGAAGCAGGAAATATGAAGAGAAAATGAACGTGACTTACCTTGCAGCGGCCGCGGTGGCGGCGGTGGTGCGTTCATAAGATCCCTGACTGGCTCATCACCCATGCCGTTTACAGGAGGTAATGCTTTAATTGAATCATACTGCATTCTTGGTTCATTTTCTTGACCATTGACTAGATTCCTCGACTTCATGCCTTCAAGTTGAAAAAATCCTTCAAAAGTAAGTAAATATTTACCTAAACGGAATTTTTTATTTCTGGTAAAAAATGAAAATAAATATGACCTACTTTCATCGGCTACTGGGTGTGCACCACGCAGTGGTGCGTTCATAAGATCCCTGACTGGCTCATCACCCATGCCGTTTACAGGAGGTAATGCTTTAATTGAATCATACTGCATTCTTGGTTCATTTTCTTGACCATTGACTAGATTCCTCGACTTCATGCCTTCAAGTTGAAAAAATCCTTCAAAAGTAAGTAAATATTTACCTAATCGGAATTTTTTATTTCTGGTAAAAAATGAAAATAAATATGACCTACTTTCATCGGCTACTGGGTGTGCACCAGTGAGTCCGAGGAGGAAGAGAAAGCAAATAAAGGAGATCGAGGCCATCATAACAGGATGTAACTGATCTGACAAGAAAGTTTTAAATGAAACGATATTTAGAATTATCCTAGAGACTTCCACAGACTAAACTTTAAAGTAGATCAAAGAACGTTTGGTGGCTTTCCTCACGATTCATAGCCAACATTGATTGTCATTGACGACGTTCCTTTACCAAACGTGAGTTTCGCAACTGAACAAATCAAGGGCTATGATTATTTAACTTATCGAACCAAAAGATCATAGAGAAGCTTTTTGAGATAAAACATACAGAATACAGAATTTAAGTTACTAAGTCACAGCAGCTACAATCACGACATTGCTCCCCAAACAAAAGAAGTTGCGAGAAACAAAAAATTTTGTCGGGTTTTAATTGGTGAAGTACGCTCCTATAAAGTTTGTTTAAAGAGCTGCCTTAGAATGTTCAAGAGCATGTTTTTGAAATTCTGATCACTTCATTCAACTCAAGTTAAGTTGTCATTGACATTTAATCTCGAGAAAAAACATGATTACCGAGTTTATCGTAGTTATGAGTGTAGAAACACAAAGTTAAATTTGCAGTGAATTCAATTGCTCTGCTTAAGTTTGCGATATTACGATATGTTGGAAAAAGTATTCGAGGTGTAATATGCATAGATGGGTAATTTTTGGTCTTTTCAGGACCGGACGCCTCAGAATAAGTCTGGGTATAATTGAAAAATCTTCCAATGGGGCTCCGTTTTCCGTTCCTGCATTTGGTTGGTAGTCTTGGAGGGAACCGAGGAAACAAGAGTAAACAGATATAAATCAGTTTTACACGAAAAATTATTTCATTGTATCTTTTGCAGTGATATTAATAGTGGTCCAGTGTCCCTTTCTCATCAAGGAGGTCTAAATGCTTGCACTAAGAGGAATCTACCTTTGAAATATTTTCTTTAAAGTTGTAAGGATTTTTTAACTTCCATCCGCTATTCACAGAGTCAAAGAAGGTCTGGAAGCGAAACTTTCGGACGAATAACTTCAGTTTAAACACTTTTTTTCTGAGTAATTTACCTGGCTTCTTGATACTTGCTCGTCTTTGTTCTATTCCTTTTCTTTTGGTGACCAAACTCTGTGAACCTTCACGCTTAAATGCCCAATAAATTCTGTATGTGGGTGGGAAAAACTATTATTTGTATACACAGCTGGGAATTTGAAATTTTGTTTATTTGAACTAAGTGTAATTGTATTTCCCCATCGAATACGAATCATTTTATCTGCCGAACACCCAACCACGGACTAACAAATTCCCACAAAGTAAATTTTAACACTAAAATACCGATTCTGTAGTTATCCTGTAAAGGTTTGATCAAGGACGTTCTGCAACATGTATCTTCTAACTATAAAAATTTACAGCAAAAGTTAAGGAATTCCTGTGAAACGTGTTAGAAAGCTTGCAAATTAATGCAAATTAGATTCTACGGCTTCTGTAATATTTCTTGTGGGTATAGTTGTCCGTATAGCATTGACTAGTATGATAAAAAAAAAAGACCTTTCTTTAGCTAAATGGCCCTTTTTACTTAGTAGCATTGCGCGCAATTAGTAACTTCCAAAATGTGCTTTTCTTGCACGACTGATGTTTCCCTGTTGCTTAAAATACTACTACAATCCTCATTAACAGCTCAGCTTACTTTTGCAAAGTTCGTTAGAATATGAGTGGGAGTTGTAGGTTCAGGTGGGGTATTAATTTTTTGTCTTATTTACTCGAATTTGCTTTATTTATCTAACAAAGCACTCAAAGCTACGAAACACGCAAGCAGATTTATCAAGAACATACTTTGACATGAAATAAGATTGTAACTTCATCATGTTAAGGTTCAATCGAAGACATTTCGTAGAACACAGGAACTTTTCTTCAAAATATCTTTTAATGAAAAAAATTTCCCTGTATTCTCGTAAACATCAATGATGTTTAGAAAGCCTCCGTGAAATGTGTAAATAGATATGTTTCGTAATCTGCAAACTCATTAACATTCTTTTGATGGCTTTGAAAGGTTTCGCAGAATTTAGAGTGGATTCTCAAGCATTCTGTAAGATGTTTTATGGTTAACTTTTTTAACGACTAACAGTTCAAATATGTAATTTTTTGGGCCTAACGGCTAACGCAGCCCTAGATAACCCACTGCTCACCTTTTCACTTCACTGCACTTTGTAATCGCGTAGAACGTTCTTTGCTTTTCAGTCACGCTAAGATTTTATCTCAATACTTGAATGGGTTTATCTTCCCTTTTACGAAAGCAGCTTTGATATTCATCGTTTATGGATACGAGTTTGGGAAAGGCAAAGTGGATCATCAAGGAGGCATTAAAAAAAAAAAAAACCCAAGGCCAGCAGATTGGGTAATCCCACGTTCATTTGCTAGTTTTTTCAAGCTTTTCGTGTTGTCTAAAAGCTCTCAAGTTGCCGGAGCTGATTTTCATGATTGTCTTGTTTTGCCTAAATTTAAGATTTTGGGTTTCACTCTCAAGTGTTGAACCAGTGAGAACTCTGTGGGAAAAGCGCAGTGAGCACCGTTACTCTAGCAACTTAATTCGTACAGAGGTGTGTCCAACATTCGTTACATGCATTAGAATTCTAAGAAAAAGATAAAAATATTCATAAAAATAAAGAAATGCTTTAACGACCAGAATCGTCACTAACACTACTGCTGGGTTTCAAAAATAAACAGGAATTGAACAAAACAATACATTATATTACTACTTCTCTATCGTTACAAATCATAGCTTACTGCACAACTCTCGACTGAATGTAACCATTTCACTTTGGTGTATTGACCAAATAACTATTCAAGATAGTCAATGGAGCTTTGTCAGCGTCTATGAGTCCTTAGAGGTGCCAGAAGGCTAATCGCAAAGTTTTCAGGTCACCAAGGAACATATCTTGTGAAAAGGAAAAGTAGTATTATTCAAATGAAGCTTGATATTTTAATTAGAAATGAAATTATCGACTATCATTTCCTTCACAAGTAAAATATATTTTCTAAAGCCACAATATCGCGCTAGGTACAAAAGAGTAACCTTATTCTTGGAAAATGGAAGAAAACTGTTGGATTTTTGGAAATTTTTGTCAGTACAAGGACATGATCTCTGCTTGAACCGACATAACACTGCTCGACATTAAGGACTGATGTTTGCTAATAACTTATAATAATAATAATAATAATAATAATAATACAAAAATTTCTATAGCGCTCTATTCTAGAGCTCTAAGGCGCTTCACAATAAAATGTTTAAAGCAGTAACTTTGTGAATAATAAATTCGAAAAATACTAGAACAAAACTGCAAATTAAAATAACGCTTAAAAAGATAAGTTTTAAGGTTGCTCTTAAAAGATGTGAAATTTAAACTACATATTATATGCTCTGGAAGATTATTCCAAAGTTTAGGGGCGCAGATCGAAAAAGCACGATCACCATAAAATTTTAACCTCGATCTAGGTGATACTAACACCTAGATTGTTACTAACTGTGACAATTTTTAAGTTGACAACTTTGATCACTTTCCACGTTCATTTTCGCAAGTACAAAGAAATTTACTGCTTATCATTTACAGCAAGCCGCTGCAAGTTTCATTACACGCGAGAGAAGCAAAAGTGCCATTCGTCGCTAAAATAACCTACTCCATATTTTATTTTACTTTAATGAAGTTTCATTCATCTTCATTCGCGTGCAAAGATACAGAGTTACGGGAAGTCCCCCTGAGTCAATGTTTCTTCATAATGATAAAATTTTTCGGTTAAGGAACAAGAGCAGAAAGATTAGAAAATTTGTCTATGTACGTATTCTCTCATGTATCCCCATGTCATCTACCTTGTACTGCTGATGCTAAAAAACTGTTAAATAAAAGGACGTTTAAGTTTAACTGTCATGAAAGAATTCGTCAAAGTATAGGAAATGTAAAATATCGTGCAAGTCGATATTTAACATTGTTTACTAGCCCAGTAACTCCAAATGGAAATAAACAAATCGGATGTAACAGTACAAAATATGCTAAAGTATATTTCATGAGAACCACTCCAACAACCCCATAAAAGTTATAGTTCATCTGGTAATAATCTCTGGTAGTGACTTTTTGTCATCACACTAGCACTTGGGGCTGTTCATAATCAAAAGCAGGAGCCCATTCCCCGAGCTTCCATCTTCCATACTTATCTTCTGAGTCAACCCTGTCCCGTATCTTTTTAATTTTTAGAATTAAGCACCTCCCACAGGGTTTTCGCGGGTGTTTACATAATAACCAATCATAAGAAAGCTGTGGTCCTCTATTGTTACGTCAAATGTAGGCCGTGCGAAAGTATTTCAATAATTGCAAAAAAGCGCGGAAAGTTTATGGGAACGTCAACTTGTTTTCGCGGGAAATTAATGAACCCCAACATATCTCAGTTCTAAAAATAAAACGATACGGGACAGGGTTGACTCAAGGGTACAATTGGTATAGGGGCACCGGTATCTGTATACATATGTGAGAAACCTGCATCTCTGGCATACCAAGGGAAGAAAACAGTTACAGGATACACCAATAATTGCATAAAAAAACTTAGGCAAATGCAAGCACAAAAAACAGAGTTTATTTCCAACGGAAAGCCCGGGTGAACGCAAATATGCGTCTAGTCATAAAAATAAAAAATGACTTAAAGACCAGTATCATCACCAACGCCTCTGCTGGTGAAAACAATTAAATCGAGTTTGAAATTTGTACTTCAAATAAATGAGACAATCACGTCTATTATGCTATTTCCCACATTTTATTTTTCAAGCACTAACAGCAATTTTAAAGTTGAATCAAAAGTGACAGAAAGTTTAGTCAATTCAACTCTTCCTTTTTCACAACTTTTGATTACAAAGAGCACTTTTTCAGAATTTAAAACCCTTGATTAAAGTCTTACAATCGCAGCTGAAATGATTGAAGCAAGTTGAAAAATAATCTCGGTTAAAAAATCTGCACTCGAGCCATCAGGAGACAAAACGGCTGAGTTAAGGCTTTGAGTCTGCAAGACTGATCAGTATGTAAAAATGCCAATTGTAATGTTAGCTTATTTCGTTCGCAAGTGCATCTACAAAGCAGTAAATCAATCAAAAAGTTTCACATCCATCGCTTGGTTTTGTTTTCCCTTTAAGTTTTGCACCAATTTACTGTTCCTCAAAGGTGAGAGGGTAAGTAACAAGACGTTTGTTGTCCCAAGCGTACAGCACTCTTTCCCTGGGGTTGTAGTCCACCATGGAGTTGTAACCATACTGGTTTGTGAACTGTATGTTGGGAATCCACTGTTTCCCTGTCTTGGTGTCATAAGCAAAGTTGATGGTAGTGGTTTTGCTGCTGTATTCGTTAATACAGTAAATCACTCCACAGGCCACAAAAGCATTTCCCATATAGGACATCCTCTCTGCGCGGGGAAAAGAAGACTCAAAATTAAATGCAAAATCGACAAAATTCATTTGGCAAAGATGCGCATTGGCTTAATATGTTACTTTATTTCCTGACTTGTGGAAAAAATACTTCTTTTGTTTGTGATAAGATACCATAGCTCAGGTGGTTGTAAAGCCAACTAGGAAGGCAATGGTTCGAGTTCTGTTAAGGCTTGAATTACTTTAAGCTTCTTTATCTACAGTTTCTTTACTTGCTCCTCGTCTGTGAGGATAATTTCTTTTTTGTCATCATTTATTGATCATTTTAAGATTTATTTCATTTATTTGTGTCTTTTATGCTCAAGTAGACTAAGGGCCTTTTTTTAAGTAAGTGTTCTTAATTCAGTTGCTACTCTGTGCTTGGAGTAGGTTTAGTCATTCTGTCGCTTATTCCTTAATCGCCCTTAACTGAGATCTACGTAAAATATCCCCACCTCATTAACTCGTTCTCTTTTATTTTACAGTTTCGTCTCCGTTCACATAGCTTCATGTTGCATACTTACCTGTACTCAAGCTCCAGGTGTGGGTGACTACGTTTTTACGCACATCTATTTTTGATGCGTACAAACGATAGCTGTTTCCATTATCTCCCCAAAGAGCCCACAGTCCTTGCTCGTCAACTGCTAAGTCCATTCCAGTATATCCGCCCCATCGATAGTGGTTCTTTCGCGCTGAAAAGCCGCTAACAGTAATTTGAGCCTCCATACGCTCTGTGAGAAGATTGTACTTGATAATATAAGCTGAATTGGCTCTGTAATCAAAAGATAAATAACAAATGATTCATCAGATGGGACTAATTTCTGCTTAAATTCTCATACTGCTGAATGTTTCAATTTTCGTGAAAAACAAAACAAAAATTTATCTTTCAAACACGTGTTTTGAATCTATCTATCTGTAAAACAAGTCAGAAGTCTCTTTTTTTTAATAGTAAGTTAGATAAAGCTGGAAACCAAAAAATATCTCACCTGTTGTAGTAGAGGTAGGGTCCGTACACTACTGCTCCAGTTCCATCAAAGTAATAAGGCAGAGAATAAGTCTTGTGAACCACACCAGCCTTGAACTTTTCCATGTTTTCAAACGCTTGGATAACATTTGCGAAATAATTTTCCATGGTAAATATGGTCTCAGCACCCATGATTCCTAGTGGGTCTTTCATCCAAGCTCCTTGTGTATAATACCGAGTGTTGTGAGTGATAGGTTTTCCAACAGATTTGATGTTTGTGCACCTGTCTGAAGAAGTTTTAGTCAAAGTTAAAGTCGATTATTATTTGATCAGATTTTCCTTCTTTTCAAAGACATATTTGATTGGAAAGCATTCTGATTACCTACACTTATGTCAGTTCATAATGCAGAATCAGTGTTGTTTTTTTCTCAAACTGAATACTTTTCTTAGCACATTTTGCGACATTTGCGATTTTCTACAGTTCCATGTCAATTACAGCTTCCGCTTCTTGAGTATTAAGCCAACCGCCTAAACTGAGCCTGTTCTTGGATTTTACAGGGTAAAATTATTTTTTAATGCATTTTTGGCAAACTAGACTGTTTTTTTGGCACGTCTAAGTAAAATTTGTGATATTTTGCGTTAATTTTGGCTGGTTGGAACCTTCCTTGACCCTTCTGCACACATTTGTTGATTTAGACACTCGTCTAGACAACTTTATACTGTTTCTGCAATCTGGCGCTATTTCTTTAATTTTCGTTTATTTTTCTAACATTCAACTCTTGCGTATATTTTTTTTCATATTTTTCCATTTGCGAACTTCTGCGATTTTCATGAATTTTTTTGGGTCTCTCTTTACCCTCTACGATGAATTTCTCGATTTTCGTCGTCGCTTTTGCGAATTTCTTAGTAGTTTTCGCAATTCAGAAATTTTTTGCAAATATGGTTTTGTTTTCGTTTATGCTTTCCATAAATTTCTGGAATATATTTTGTACTTTTCAATCACACTTTTATTATTTTTCATATTTCCAATCTAATTTGTTTTTTGGATTCTTTGCATACCATTTGACAAAAACTGCAGAAGAAATTGCAAAATTTGCCTTTAATCTTCGTAGCTGTGTTAAAACAAATTAGAAACAATTTAGTCCTAGTCTCTAAAAGCCAAGTGGTTATCATTTCTAACAAACCTCTTTCCAGGATGTAAACATTCTCTTTTGCTTTATCTAAATCATGTTGCTCATCAAGGATCATCTTGAGCAACTACAAACAGAAAAAGCTATCTTAGTAATGCGCTAAACCCTAGTGACACAGTTCTTTAGTTTGCTGACGGGAATTTTTGTAGCAAATGGTCGTGACACTTACGTTTACTATCTGACCTAAAGCTGATGACACAGTGCGAGCAAAAGAGATTTTAAAAAATCCAGAATTGTAAAGTGAGAGAAAAATAAGCAATTTTCGTTATGTGGCAGAACCTTTTTCATTGGTGGTTTGTTTTGGTGGCAACAGACTTGAGTGGCGACAAGAGATTAGTTTATAATCTCTTAGTGGCGGTAGTAACCATACATTTAGAAGATACAATTATGTACTTCAAACTACTTACGTGTTTCTTTGCCAACTCGAGAGCAAGGTCTTTTATTGATAACTTCGACGAGTGATGGTGGCGGGAAGATAAGCCGCGTTTAATCCGCGTATTCACTGCAGATTTACCGAGTCCATCGCCCTGGAGCAAGAAAGTGATATTTAGGAAATTTAAAGCGCTAAACTAAAAGCCTCAGTGGGAGCTCGAGGAAACTTAAAGAAATATTAAAACTTCGAATAGACTTGTCATCATTTCTTGCGAGAGCCCCGTAAAACATGTTTCTCGCACGAATAAGTTGTTTAAGGTATAAAAATCCTTTGGATGGTTATATTAACAACTGACTGAATTGGTCCCCATACAAACGTCAATTCATTCAGTTTTAAATCTAGAAGCTCTTTTTCCGTAGTTTGCTTTGCATTTAAAAGAAGAAGATTAACAAGGAACATTTTTCATGAAACACCAGATGTCTATATCTGAAAGGGCTGAATGAATTGCTGTTTACAAAACCTCGTTACAAACACTACACACTCGAGTTCTTAAAATTATGAAGAAGCCATGGTGTAACAGAATTGTCCTGTGCAATGATTATGTACTCTGAGCAAGCTATGGAGATTGTTTACAGACTCCCTGATAAAATGAAAAGGCAGTGAATCGAAGGAAATAATGGTTCGGTTGTGTTTGATAACTAAAAGCCTCAAACCTTACCAGAAGTAGAATAAACTGGAGGAGGAACAGTGAGAGGTATCGAAACATTATGGAAGAGGAATGCCTTCGCCTTGGAAAGATCTAAAAGAAAATCAAATCAAATTTATATCTTAAGTTTGCCTATAGGATAATAAATTAAAAGATATGAACATACCTACAAATAAATTTCCAAACTTACGTTTCCCAGCAGCAGATATGTCTAGACTCTCTAGTCCAGGGGGGTTTTCACGCGAGGGGCTACGATGCCGCAGAGATTAAATTTTTTCAGACAGATGCGTTCTTTATTGAGTGACTTGAACTTGGCCACGTACACCAGGTAGAGTCTGCGAATTTTCATGTTGGTTAGAGTATGAGTCATTGTTTACCGCTATTATGACATCAATTGAGGTGAAGCGTCAACAAACCTAGACAAAACATCCATAAAACTTTTTGAGACACGATTTTCTAACAAACAGGGGGAAGAAGAAAAAAATACATTTCTTTACTCTCAAATCATTGAGTCAAGTAGTGCAGCAATTTGTGGTTTTCTTAAAACAGCAAGTTGATCAAGGAGGCAAATAAATGTTATCATGATAACGAAAAGTGTCTTATCTTACAAAAACAAAAAGTTGACGCTTACGAGCGTGGATGTGAAGATTTAGATCTAAAATGCGTAATGGAACCCGAATTATAACAATTCACTTAAGAAACTTAACCCTCAAATTAAAATATATTTTAGGACACTGTCTGTCCATGCTTTTGTTTCGTTAAAAGCTGACAAAAAGGGAACAATTTGGATTACCAGAAAAAATATCGATAAAAAATAAAAGAAAATGTACTGCTCTTGCCTTGGTGATGATCTTACGATAAGAGTTAGTGAGGTAGCTGGAAATAGCGAGTCGATTAACCTGACTGGCAAACAAATCAATGTTATTCGAAGGTTTTTGCCACTGTTCAGTTTGGGAATTGAATCCGGCCGTGCTTCAGAGATGGGAGGCAAGCCCTCCAAGCTCTACGCTATTCCTGATCCCCTTAAATTTCACTGTCTCTCCATTCAGATTTGGTTTTGGTATGAAAGGGAATGTTTGTGCTTTCTCTACGAGATGTTAACAGTCGCACCAACTCAGTCTGAAATTATATTACTGAACCACGTGGCACTTGAATCAGAAAATCATACAAGCTGCTACTTCTGCCGAATGAGAAATGACGTACCGTATTTATTTACTTATAGGCCGACCTATTTCTTCTAAAATTAAGACTTTTGAATCTGCCAAAAAAATTTCGAACAGAGGGGTTCAGCTTATAGCCAAGAGTTAAATAATTTTTTTTCTCTATCGAGTGTCAAAATCAAAGGAAATGTCACGCAAATTCTGTGATCGGCTTGTAGCCAAGTCAGAATTAATAAAACACAACAAATACAAGATGAAATTGTTGGTCAATAAACTTTAATATAATTGGTGGCTCCTAAAGGAACCGTTTATTGAAGAGCTTTCAACTGATAAACAGCTTACTCGCCATCAGCATCGCTGTCGTCCACGCTGTTAGTTCCAAACTTGTTGTCTTCAGCTTCGTCGTCTTCGATTTCTTTTTCCGCCTCTTCAGTGAAAAGCTCATCGTCTTCAGTCCCTTCCAAAGCATTCGAAAAGCCACAGGTCTTGAAGGACTTCATCACCATCCCTGCCGGGATCTCTCGCCATGCTTCATGCACCCATCGAAGAACAAGATCGGAGTGTACTCAAACGAGAAGCTGATCGTCCACGCCAGGTACTGTCTTCGGACGTTGTCTTAAAATGGCTTGTTCAAGCACTTGCCTAGCGGCTGCAAAACAGAGGTCAGGCCTCCAGGGATGAATGCTACATCAATGTTCCGCTATTTGAGAACTGCTTTTACATCATCGGTCAAGTGAGCTCGGAATGAGTCCCACACTAAGAGTGACTGTTCGTTACGAGGGGTCGTTGGCAAGCATTGAGGAATCCATTCTTTCACACCTAACTCGTCTATCCATCCTTTCTTGTGGAGAGAAACACAGAGGGAATTCGGAACGTCGAGGTCTCTCGGAGCCCGCACGCCTTAAAAGATGACCTTAGGTGGTAGTTTGGTCCCATCTGCAGCGAAGGCAAGTGCGACAGAAAAGCTTCGCTTTCCTACTCTGCAGGCTTTAACTGTCGCTGAACTTCAGTAAAAGCGTTGATGGAAGCTCGAAGCGCATCAGCGTCTCATCTATATCGTAGATTCTAGGTAAAGGGTATCCAGCTCGCTGCCTGGCTGCTATGATGAAGTGGTGGAACTGCACAACTTTCTCTTCCATGCCATCTGGCAGTAGCCGGGCTAGCGTTGTCTTGGCGCGGAAGCAAACAGAGCGACGCCGTTTCCAGTTTTGGTACGAGCCAAGAGAAGCCTCGTATGCTGGATCTGTTGACAATTCTTTAGTTATCAGGCGCAACATTAGTCCGCTTATGGCAAAACCTATAAAAAATAAATGAAAACCATGTAAATAAATAGAATTTAAGCTACTCAAAGCGAAGAGTTAGATTGCTGTGCGTAAGTAAATAAAGTTAAAAGAAGAGTTTGTTTACTTTGTGTAAATAATTAAAATTCAAGAAACTCAAAGCAAACAGTTAGTTTAATTTGCATAAATGCATACAATTCAAGCGAATATTAGCGAGGAATGAGAATTAAAAATTAAACTCACGTGCGTGTTCACTCGAGCCTACAACTTTTCAATTACAAATAACCTGATAACGTCTGTGTTCGTAGAGCGACAAATCATTTGCTCACCTTGATGTCTTTGCTCGGTAAACCGCTCTAATATCAGCTAGTCCAGCTCAGGATACTTCGGGGTATCTTCAGTTCGCCGTTGAAAAGTTTGTCTTGATCGTTACGCCTGCGACGGACCGTGGACTCAATCAATCAGTCCATACTCGCGAGTGATCTCCGAGTTGTTTTCGACAGCTTCTGCTTCAGTATCAACTTTGAGCTGGAAAATCATATTGTACGATGAATGGCGTGTCTTTGGCATGATGAATTTAATACGAAATCCATTGATTATTGACTTTGGTAAGCGGTTGTTTGTGGCAATGAGTTATTCTATGGTTCAGTTTGGATCAATTAGTATTCACGATCGCACTGGTTCACTAAATGTTTACAATAAACAAAGTGCATTTCATTGTTTCTAAAAGATATGATTTTCTTGTTTGACTTTTCATGCTTATTCATTTGACACAATAACTTTCGACATGTTTCATGAGTGGAGCGCTTTCTTAAATGACTTTGAGTGTACACTCAATTAAACTCTGCTGTGAAACTTAGGTCTCGGCTCATGGTCGGGACTTTTCCAATTTTATTTTCGAAAGCTTACGCCCATTATTGTGTCTCTTAAGTCTGGGGTCTCGGCTTGTAGCCAAGCTCGGCTTATAGCCAAGCTCGGCTTATAGCCAAGCTCGGCTTATAAGTAATTAAATACGGTAATCGACTGAATATATGCTGATGCGACTCAGCAGTTGCCACCTAAGAACGTTGATAGACGCTTTTCACTTTAGATTGCTTAAAGTTGTCATCTCCAACACTCAAAAATAGTCTCATTTATTGCACAAATTGAATGGCTCTTCTTGTAGTTTTCGCTTTCATCTTTCAAGCTGAAATGGTACGGTTGTGAAACAAAATTCCAACTATTGGCGATTTCCTCTCTAAAGGGCGTCAATTCCTACTTAGAAACCGATTCTGCTCAGGAGTAAGGTTTGCTCTCAAGGCTGTAACCGTCCTGCATTAGTTTTGGACATCGAGGGCCGGTTATATAGACAAAGTTTAGCCGCTGTTTAACAAAATCGCCATCTTCAATTTAGCCGAAGCTTTTATCTGAACGTTTATTCTGCGAACAGTGTCAAAGGGGCCGAAAGCTACCAGTGGAAGGACATTTATCATATTAAATCAACCCTTTTATAGAGGGGCCTATTACTTGCGTAAAACCGCGGTTTGGGTTAGACCTCGTGTAAAATAAACGGCCCTAAACGTTTGACTCCGAGCAAATTTGGATTGATATGCACAATTCAACCAGGCCGCCGCGGCGGAACGGCAGCACAAACTACATTAACACCTCCTCGCTGCACTAACAGCAATGATTAGACGCATAATGACGGAGAGATGTGCGAATGAATCTCTCTTCGACTTCCTTAAGGCAAACGAAAGCACTTAAAAAGTCCTACCAGGGGCTTCTACATCAGAACTGAGATCGGTGGTATAGTACTCCTTTCGCCGGTCTCGTCACAAAAGTTTTTAATCGTTATTTCATTTGAACCTTGATCTGCATTTTTTATCAGTAGAAAGTAAAGAACTGAAAATAGAAACTCGGCACAATGAAATCTACAGCAGCGCTTTCTTGGTAGTCTCGCAAAACTGAGAATCTTAACATCACTCGATAATGTAATGGCTTCGGTAGATTCGTCCATAAACAAGCGCGGTTTGCAAGCGAAAAGAAGGCATCAAAACGGCGATTACAATTTGGAAATGCAATCCATCGTTGGAAAATAGCAGTTATTAGATATCAGAGAGGTTAAGGATGAAATTGACTATAATTGAAAATGTTTTTTTAAGGCGCGTTTTAAAATTTTAGTAGGCTTTTAAACCAAACGAAATAAAGAAAGAAAATAAGAAGTAAACTTAAAAATACAAAATTGCTTAAAAAATTGACATTTTATATTTTCCAGTGTTTTGATTTCTGTTTGTGAATTGGCCTTAATTTCTCGACACGCCGAAAGAGAAAGCATTGCTTTAGATTTGGCCTCAACGAAAGTTACTAGTTCCTCTTGAGTAAAGGCAAGCAGTGTCCACATAGATAAAGTGTGTGCTACTCTTAGTGACAACATCTTTGACATGCATACATTATATATAAAACTGTATTAAACAAGGCATTCAAAACTTTCTCGAAAAACTGAAGTCGTGGCTATTTAGGAGATAATCAAGTTTCTACAAACTTATGCGAAAGTTCGCATTTCTGTAATTTGTCTTAGAATTTACAATCTGTGCGACAAAACAGCTAAACAGAGATCACAAAAGTAGACAGTTTGTGAAATTTTGCCTTCAGAATTAACGCTAGAGACACGGAATTTGAATATT